TGACCTTGAGCAATTACCTACTTTACCCACCTCATTTTGTTTATTAACTGTAGAAATGATTTTATAGAAACGTGCTATTGCGTAAAATTTAGATTAATATGACTAACGCTAGCTGAATTGTTGAGGGTTGCACTTTTCCAATATTAGTCCCTGGCCATAGATATATTGTAAACCTCCTTTTTGGTGACATTGCATTGACTGACCCAGTAGTTATGACGTGAGCAAGTTTCTGTCTATTCATATGTTAAACTGTGTTAGCAATTATGTATATAATTTGGTAGATGGGAGATAACCCCTATCTAATGTGCATAGCGCACACACTGGTTATGCCATCCTTGAAATGTGAATGTTCTCCCTTTAACGGCTAGATTATCACACATGTGTATATGCTTACTAGTATGCCAGAGAGTTTCAATAAATCACGAATTTATAATGCTATATATTTGTCAGTTAAAAGTAATAGGTTTATATTATGGATATACATGTATTTGTAAATATTCTGTGTATTGGATTACGTACTTGTAAGTATACTTTACATAAGAAATAAAATCTTCCAACGTTCTCATCGAAATAACTGCAGAACTGCGTATCTTTACAATATTAGCTATAAATTGTATGTAATTAATAAAGTGTGTTATGCACGCTTTACTGTAGGAACCATCGACGATGCGTAATCTATATGGATAGTTTCGTCACATGAAAGTATCCAAATTCCCTTTCAGGATTGAAACCTTAGTGGTGAGGGGCAAGTGATTGGCGTCCGCGCCGAAGCGCGGCGCCTATTGGAATGAAATGAGATTTTGTGAAAGGGCGACAGCAACTTCTCGAGCCTTTTATAGTTACCAATAATAAAAGCCGATCATTCCGATCGGTATGAGGGTGCTTGATTATTAATTAGTCGCGATATGTACAATGAATGGCGAACTGGAGAATTTCGCAATGCAAACATTTTCAAATGAAATAACCTTTTCCGTCAATAAATCGCGCTCTTCGGGGTATTTTTGCTTATCATTTTGTAGTACACAGTGGGTTATTATGGTATGTTATTCCGAAAGCTGTTAATAGAATGATGAGTTGATGACCTAAATATTCCGAAAATCTATTTATAGAGGGATGTACTCCTATCGGTAATTCCCGGTCTCTCCCGGGATTTACTAATGACCGGCGAATAGTACCACACGTTTTTGTCCGGTCTCTCCCGGTTTTGGAGTAGATATCGTTACAGAACATAACAAATATTTTACAGATAAATAAGCTTTTTTTCAAAATGAATGTTTGTGACTTAGTTTGGTTACAATAATTAATAAACACAGATCAACTCTCGAATTGATTATTATTATACATAAACATACAATTCGAAAAAAAACCAACAACACAAATCGCATGTTATATTTTATCTATATGAGATAAAAACAATAAATATGTACAATAATTGAGAAAAAATGTGCATTTTTATGGCATTAATATGACACTATCAACTTTAAAACATTTTATATTATTTGTTATTCGTGTTTAGTAAAGATTCCGAGGAATTATTCAAAGTTACAAATCAGATTTTATGAATTATTCAATTGATTGATAATTTAAAAAATGATAAAGAAAAATACAAATGTACATGTATATGGTTTAAGAATAAACAATATTATAAATTGAAAGATTAACCATGATTTACTGACTTTTTCCAGTTAAGTTGACTTCGGGATCATTGATGCCAACACTATAAAGTGTTGAGAATTGAGTACCGCTCAAGCCGGTGCTAGGGGGCGTGAGGGATGTTGCACTTATTCATTATCCCTCATGTACAGACTCAATCAAACCGAGTCTGCAATTCTTATGTTATTTTGTTGTGATTGATGCTTCCGAGGGATCACTTTGTTTCCAGAATTTTATAATCGTCGATCATTATGACAATTGAATTCTTAAAATAGTAGTAAACGTAAAAACTCAGTATTAAAATAGCGCATAAAACACACACAAAAAAAAGAAAAGAAAACAATATTCATAAAATCTGTATTTTTTTTTATTAAAATAGAAATTACATTTATTGTATAATAAACAATTATGCTCAACATGATCAACATGGTAATATAACAAGTGTCATATTGTTACTTAGTGTGAACAGATACCTTAAGAGGGGGTCCTTGTTAATAGCAATAACATAATAAGGGACAATTACACAAGTATGGTGTTGATCATGCGTTACACATATGGATTATAAATGATTGTATACATGTATATCCGTTGCTATTAATAACCACGATCATAAAGAAATAACAAGTAATATTTTAATTTCTAGCATGCCGATCAAAGTTATAAATAATGAACAATGTCTTTCGTCCGTTCATTCAAAAGTGATATACAATTCTGGTAAAACCCAATGAACCATTGAAAAGTTTATAAGAATATCTTGTCATCATATATCTACTAGTTCATCTGCACCTGCTGTTTGGACGCCCTTTGATGCTTTGCATCAATGCTTTTCTTGTTTGATACTTTGGATACTTCTGTTAATAAACATACGGCCCAGAACTATAGAGCTATGTTCATTGCGACATGAATATCTCTTTCACGACAGAACTGTATCGTAGAATAAATACACTGTATCATAAATTTCTTAACTACTTCTTTTTTTTATTCTGACTTACTTTATTGAGACTTGATGGTATACGGTATTTTTAACCAGGTTTTCCGAAGGAAAAAACTGGTTATTAGATTGAGGTATGTCGGCGGGCGGGCGGATGGGCGGGCGGGCGGGTGGCGGGCGGGCGTTAACAATTTCTTCTGTGCGCAACTCCTCCTACATTTCTCAACGGATTTTGACCAAACTTTCACAGAAGCTTTATCATCAAGTGCCCTGGCGCATATTGTCGGGGTTTTGCCATTGGATAATATTTGACCTAATTATGACCCTTTGTTGTTTTTTCTTATATAGAATATATAGTGAACAATTTCTTCTGTGCGCAACTCCTCCATCATTTCTCAACGGATTTTGACCAAACTTTCACAGAAGCTTTATCATCAAGTGCCCTGGGGCATATTGTCGGGGTTTTGGCATTGGATAATATTTGACCTAATTATGGCCCTTTGTTGTTTTTTCTTATATAGAATATATAGTGAACAATTTCTTCTGTGCCCAACTCCTCCTATATTTTTCTATGGATTTTGACCAAACTTTCACAGAAGCTTTGTCATCAAGTGCCCTGGCACATATTGTCCGGGTTTTGCGATTGGATAATATTTTACCTAATTATGGCCCTTTGTTGTTTTTTCTTATATAGAATATATAGTGAACAATTTCTTCTGTGCCCAACTCCTCCTATATTTTTCTACGGATTTTGACCAAAAATTTACAGAATCTTTGTCATCAAGTGCCCTGGCACATATTGTCCGGGTTTTGCCATTGGATAATATTTGACCTAATTATGGCCCTTTGTTTTTTTCCTTATATAGAATATATAGTGAACAATTTCTTCTGTGCGCAACTCTTCCTACATTTCTCAACGGATTTTGACCAAACTTTCACAGAAGCTTTGTTATCAAGTGCCCTGGCACAAATTGTCGGGGTTTTGTGATTGGATAATATTTGATGTAATTATGGCCCTTTGTTTTTTTCCTTATACAGAATATATAGTGAACAAATTCTTCTGTGCTGAACTAGTCCTACATTTCTCAACAGATTTTGTTCAAACTTTCACAGAAGCTTTGTTATCAAGTGCACTGGCGCATATTGTCAGGGTTTTGTGATTGGATAATATTTGACCTAATTATGCCCCTTTGTTTTTTTCCTTATACAGAATTATCAATATATAGTGAACAAATTCTTCTGTGCTGAACTAGTCCTACATTTCTCAACAGATTTTATTCAAACTTTCACAGAAGCTTTGTCATCATGTGCCCTGGCGCATATTGTAGAGGTTTTGTGATTGGATAATTTTTGACCTAATTATGGCCCTTTGTTTTTTTTCCTTATACAGAATACATTTTTTCCTTATACAGAATATACAGTGAACACTTCTTCTGTGGCAATTCCTCCTACATTATTCATGTTTTACATTGCACATAGTTGCATTGTTTATTGCTTGCATTTGTATTACAAATACAACATATTTATCTACAATGGAGATAATTGAAAACCTGGTTTCGTGGCATTGCCATGTTTCTTGTTTCATATACATGTGTGTAAAATTGTTTGAAAACCAGTTTTATCGTTGTAACAGATGTCCCATTTGTGTTTAAATATTAAAATAGTTTTGATAGTGTTTGCAGGGGTGTATTATCTATGTACACACAGTGTCACAGTATATGTACACAGCCATTCTATATAAGAATTACAAGAGACAAGAAAATCGTTCACACATAAAAAAATCTACTTGTCACTAAAATCAAGTACAATAATTATGTGGCTAAAAAGGTAAAAATAGTTTTTCAAAGTACCTGTAAAAAATATATTGCTACACGAAGTTCGTAAAATACCAATTAGTTAAAACCATGTGATATAGTTAAAATGTTATACTTGTACAATTAATCAAAATGATTTAATTAGTCTTGATTACAAAACCTTACTTTTTTAGGAATAATAATTTCCAATTATTATTTGTCAATTGGTTGTGCCTAAAACGCTACCTAAATGATTTGTTTATTATGTCTCTTTTCAAGTTTGATTAATTGAAAAGCATAGATGTTACCGTTTTATAATAATGCCAAATGCACGAGGAATTTGTAAGGTAAAACCAGTATGAATAAAAATTAGAGTATTTTGTTTTTGTATATTCATTTTCAAAATGTCAACGCTACGGAAAAGACATTTATCGCCGACAAGTTCAATGCCTTCGCCAAAAAGAATTCGATGAGGTCTGTCTATAAGTGGCAAGGACAAATTAAATAAAGACAGTGTTTATGTACGTATGTATTACATAGTATATTCATGGCGCGGCATATTTACGGCATGTTATTTTGTGACATTGTAAATGTCTGACATCACGGTAAATTAATGAAATTGCGTATTTATTTATTTTATTAATAACTTTATTTTATAAGTGAACAATGAATTAATTCATTTAATTTAAATAATTACTTTATATACGGTTCTTTCTATTCCAAGCATCCCCAAATATTTAGTTTCACTAAATGTTTGTTATAATTAACAATGATTTTGTAACATTATAGACTACAAGTATATATCTTAATGCCTAGACAATGGTCGAAATGTTTTAATTAGAGTGCTAACATATTGTCCAGCATTTGAGGCTTGCACATTTGTCCCATTTCCATATGGTGAGTGTATATGTATAAGAAATCCACCGGAAGTTGCATTTGGCCGCCATGTCCGAAAATCACCCGCTGAATTAAAGGCATAAACAATACCTCCAAATGGGGAATCAATTGACTGGGAATTACCATACCCTCTGAATCGGTACCCTTTATTTACTCCATCAGTAGCCTCAACGTAGAATGACAATAAATCATTATCCGTGGAAATATGTTCAAAAGCAGACCATTCCGGAAATTCTATGTTTGGTTCAAACATAACCTCAGAGTCAATCTTTGCTATAGGCGTTACCTTTATACCCCACGAAATAATTCTAAACTCCCCCTTTCTGATATTTATACCATTTATTGGTCCTGTACCCCAACCGTCACTCCATCCTATGAGTCTGTAGTGTCCATTGTCAGATAATGACTCTAAATATCCCGACCAAAGGCGAACGTCTGAATCGCTAAATGCATACACAACGCCTCCGGTATTGGAGTACTTACGATGCATCATTGTTGCGCCAAGACCCTCAGATACAACGTTATAATTAGATCCATTACAGCGAATTTGAACATTAATGAACCGTGGATACCCTGATAATTTGTGTTCAAGCTCATAGAAAGATAAACTGCTATTTTGTATGTCCAGCGGTAACCAGTCAGTTTTGAAATCGGGTTCTGGAAAATCCGACGGTGCCCAAACTTTACATCGCACAAAAGCTTCGATTTCCGTTTGGTGATTATTCCCTGTTCGCTTAAAATTTGCTTCGCCGGTGTTGATAATAACGCCTGCATTTTGATTATTGCTTTTGTTTGGCGCAACAAGAATGACATGCGTTTCGTTATATAAATATACAATTCCACCATATGTTTTGCCATAGTCATCGTCGCTCTGAAAAGCAGGATCTCCATGGAATATCCAACCTGCGTTTGACCCTGATGTAGGTCGAATCTGAACTTCCACTTTATATGGCAGGACCCCTAAACCATGAGGAACAATACGCTGAACGTAGTCTTGGTCTTGGGCCCTCATTAACATCCATTCACTAACAAATGATGGCGCCAGAAAATCAGAGTCAACATTCTCATTTAAATCATAACATGATCTATTTAACAAAGTAATGTCCTCTTTTATATCATTTTTAGAAGTAACCAAGTCTTCTACTGAAGAAAATGTATTCTCCAGTTTCTTTGTGACATTAATTAATTTTTGTGACGTCACGTTAAATCCTTGTCGTAGTTCAGAGTTTTCTTGTTTAAGAAGTTTGAGTTCGTTTTCAAGCGCTAGTATTTGTATCAGTGATTTTTGTAGTTGCTGTTCTCGACCTCTCGAGATAACTTTTTCGTCATTGAAGCCTTTGACTAAAGTAATATAATCCGAAAGTTTAACATAATCATCTTTTCTTCGATCAATGCTATTCGAATTTAAATGACATTCACATGTTGTCTTATCAAATTTGAATTCGTCAAATTTAGCAGCCAATGATTTTATCTCAGCAGATAAATCTATCCACACTTTTCTTTTAATATTATTTATTTCGTCAAAAATAAGTTCATGAACATGTGCTGATGTATCAGATTCCGTTGCGATGTAGACATCCAAGAAACAAGTTAAAAATGTTAAAGTAAAATAGAATAGTTTCGCCATCGCAATATAATTTATTGGTGTCAATCTATTTTCCTACAAATGTGATATGATTTGAAATGAGTAATAAGGTTAAATAGCTTATATCCGTTCAGGCGGGTTATTTGTTTATAAACACTTATTCAGGAAGGGGAACAAAATCGACTTTGATTTGATTGGTGGATTTATTAAGAGGCTGTTGAAAATACTAGATTTGGAAATAGCAAATTAAACAACTGATCGGATATGTTAGGTTGGTAAATTTTGCAAAATTGTGTTTCTGCCCACATTTAACATTCCAAAAACTGAGACAGACAGGTTCCCTTCCTAAACAGACCCAGTCAAGAATACTTCATGAAATGTGTCATTACAGTTAACTTACTGTAATAAATAAGTAAGCTATTTTTAAATATGTAATAATTAACAGTTTGTGCTTTAAATTATTTGTACTGAATCATGTCTTTGTTTTGTATACACATGTATTATTAAACTGAAATAGTTAATAAATGGTCTAGGTAAGACTTTATTCAACGAGAGAACTCATTTGAACAACACATCAATCTTCATTGAGGCCCTCTACAAGGAACAATATAAATCGTTTAACATACATAAATGTTACATATATGAGATTTTAAAGACATCATATAATAGCCTTATTAACCTTTTGTTAATATGTCATACAGCGGAATTCAGAAAATAGTTCAACAAATGGAGTGTCATAATTTTTGTTTAGAATTAGTCTTGCAGCTCTCTTTTGGAACTTAATGAGTGTGAAAGCAGAGCTGGTCATTGATCAAGTGGTTATAGTGTCTAAGTCAAAAATTCGATCGTTTGAATTTGACGAGTCGTTCAGATGCGACAGATCCTTTACATATTAAAGATCCAATCCAAACTAAAAAGCAGAATTATAAGACTTGTATTACATAACTTTCGTCGTTTTATATGGCCTTATGGAAAAGGTGTCCGTAACTATTTAAATCTTCCATACAAAAATCTGGAAACAAAGTGATCCCTCGGAAGCATTAATCACAACAAAATTACAAGAGAATTGCAGACTCGGTTTGATTGAGTCTGAACATAAGTTGATTTTTCTTATAATAAAACTGAAAACTTTTATTCTTATACTGGTCGTGTAAACTGATGACATTTTAAAACCAAATTGAATCTTGTTACAAGATAACAACGTACTATATTCATGAGAAGAGGATATACAAAATACCCTTCAAAAATATTGCTTTTTCAATACAGGATTCATGTGTCTCGATATACAAAAGTTTTATGGATATAACTTTCTCTCTCTCATGTGTATATCAGAAATGACATTATATGATGCACTTTAAGCCAGAGCAGATTTTTATGAACTAAAAAATTTTCCTTTAAGTATAATGCATTAAATTTTAGCTTTTTTTGTCTTTATTTTCAGCGTATCAGTTTTAGAGATTTAGAATACGATATTATATTACTGTGAACTTTGTATGTTACCTTCTGTAAATAAATATTTTGTTATTATTATTGTTATTATTATTATTATTATTACACATTTAAATCAGGTTGTTTAAGGTGTATGCTAATTAGTTTAAAAGCCATATTCATATATTATAAAGAGCAGCAGCTTGTATTACTTCTATTACTACTATTAATGGAAAAAGTCGACTTAAGAAACTACAACTAAAGAATTAACTAATAAACCACTAAATCAAGACGTATGACAAGTACACGATAGAACACGAGAGCAATGACAACTTCTGTTCGCAATTAAAAAAGTCAGCTATAATTTAAGAGCGAGATTTAAAAATGTCGACGTTTAAAACAACAACTTAATTTTTTTATGCAAAATATTTGACAGAGATGTTACAAAAACTGGTACATTTTTTTCGAGTACATATGTACGTTCTAGGACGATATTGTCAAATCATCGATGTTTTGAAGTTCTGCATTTGATATTACAGAAATCTGTATTACAGCACGACGGTGAGCAGCTGTTACTGCTACGTGTCAAATCAAGTACTTCACAAACCTGTAAGTAAAAAGAGTTTAAGAATAAGTTCTTCTTATATTATAATATTCATGATAGCATGACCTTGATCACCGTTAATTGTGTTTCTATTTAGAAGAAGTAAATGTTTTGTAAATGAATAAAGCAAGTGGTTAGATATGCACATGTCTCTTATACGCTATCATTAATGCAAATGGACTTCAGTACTGTATGCGTGACTTACTACTTTACTTTCACACTTACTCCGGTAAACTGTTTCCGTAAGATAACGGTACTCAAGATGTGAGTACATCAAGCATTGGCGTAAAATATATGTTATACATTTTATAAAAGTTAAGCGGTTGGTGTTAAACTTCATCATAGTTCATTCTTTTGTTAGGCAATGTATTTGATACAAGAGGTTCTGGAAATAAAAATGTGATGTAAAAAATAACGTCATTTAGCATGAAAAAGAAATCACAATCACCAATGGCCACTGTGGTATAGTGGTTAGCGTACAGGATCGACGATTCAGAGACCTGTGTTTCGAGTCCCAGATGCGGTGTGCCTATTATTCTTGTGAATTATCTCTGTCTAATTTCCCGCTCATGACTAACAAACACACGCACATGCGCGCACACGCACACACAAACACACGCATATTTTAATATTCAAATCTTATTAATTTACTATCTCACCTCATGCACAGAACAAGTTTTAATTGTATTGCAAGCCGTCGGGACAGTCAAAGCATCGCACAAGTAACAGTAAGGAACGTTGCTCACGAGGGACGGCTGTACATTTACAATGAAATAAATACCATTCCTATATAAGATGACGGTTTCATTAATGATTATACAGCAGATTAAAGGAAAATATGTTGATTTCTTCCACTTTGTAATATTCGCATACGAGCAATTAGCGTTTAAGTTTAAGTATGCGTTTAGGCCTTGTTCAGAACAATGATGTTGATATTTTTTGTCAGAATGATGATCTGTTTCCATAAAATCTTCAGGCATTGTGATGTGTGAACATTAACACTTTTCAAAAGTGCGTATATTATAACATGTAACGATATCCTAAAGTTATGTATATCGTTTATAAGTAGGTTCAAATGAAAGTTTCAGTTTAAGACGACTAAATTGTTATTTATTAACAGGAAACAATTAAACAAGATTTTCGGACTTCCGGTCATTATGGCGATCAGTGAATATTTATGCGGCTAACATAAAAATTTATGTTTTAGTAAATAATAGTGATATTTGTGAGAGAAAAATATACAGAAGGTACAAGATTTACATTTTATTTACATTTGATCGAATATGATAACTTTATATAAACTGCAATGTAGACTGATAGTGTATGTAATAATTTACCATCAACTGATTAACTGATAAATTGTTTTGGAAACTTTGCACGTGAAGCGAAGCCGACTAGTGATTTTTTTTACGCTGGAAAAATGGTCGCAAAATGGACATATTCTTGGCGCAACCGAGATAATTATCTATAAAAGGAAAAATGTTCATGTATGGTAATAAATAACAATTATCAAACTAAAATTAATCATCTATATTAATTGCAGTATCAACAAAAAAATTTGTTGTAAATTTTAATAGGAAATCTTTTTAATTTAATGCTTTGGAAGCTTATACATGCCTGCGAAAGGGATCTTAGCGCAACTGAGATTATTTTGTAGAAAGAGCACAATGAGTGTTTATAAATTACAATCAAACTAAAATCTACTCTTTATAATAAATATAATATATTGGATGTTTGTTTTAAAATTCAGTGGAAATATTCTTTTTATTTTTTATGTTTTGACGGATATATTTGCCGCAACAGAGATATTTTTCTTAACCTCTGTCTTTGTCTCGAAATTTATTTTAAGAGTACCAATCATTTCATTTATACTTATTATCTAATCAATTTGACTTAGAGCAGACCTTTCAAACTTTGTCGCAACAGAAAGTCAGATATGACATTACTTTGTGATTTTATGCATTAGATTCTACATTATAACATTATGACAATATAAAGCGTCCCTCTTGTCATTACGTCTTTAACGACTTTCAGGAGGTTATTTCAACGACAGCCTTTGACTAGACTTCAGCAGTTACTTCTACCGGGATAGGCAAAAAGACGAAAAATTTAAATCTCAAAGCAAACACGAGATCTGTCAAGTTACTAGAAAATTTCAAACTTGACACTTCACTGAGCTACATATTATATCTTGATAACTGTGAAATATGATAAACAAGATCAACAAGAAAAGGCGGCGTTCAATAAACGTAACCCCCATACGATCCAGCAACAAGAGCCAGTGGCAAGGAGCCCAGGAGGACCCCAACAAAAAATAAGACAAAAAGCAAAACTTTATTTATAATAATTGCATGATAACTTGCCCGTACTAAAATAAAGTTGTTTTTGTCAGATATTTAATTGATATGAATGAAAAGTGAAAACCATGTTTTTTACTAATCATAATTGGATTATCATACATCTTTATTCTTATCTATTAAGTCTGATTCATACCTTTCATACAACTGTTACTATTTTAAGTGCACTATGTAATGCCTTCAAACTTCAAATTTGTACTCGATTCGACATTGTTGTCGTGTAGTATTATATCAATTTGATTGATATTCACGTACGCTTTGGTGATCATTTTAAATCCATGTAACATATAAATATAAAATCAAAGTCATCACTATATTGTATTAGAACAACTTACACATGTTATTTTATTATTCTATTTAACTTATTTAAAACCAAAAGACGTATTTTATTTCAGTCCAATTTTGTATAAATCATTTTCTTACATTAAAACAATTTAAAACCATCTTATTTCGCTTAAGTCAGGACTAGTTAAGCAAAGGTAGGGAATGAGTTGATCAAAATGGTGACGAGTTGACCAAAAAGGAGAAGAGTTGACCACTGCAAGAAAAAGAGTTGATCTGACTTCTTAAATTTAATGTTTTCATTGAAGTCATTTGCACATTCTAAAATGATGACTTTGTCAAATGATTATTCAAACAAGTAGACCAAGTAATATTGTTTAGGGTATTAAAGTTTTATTCATTCAAAAAGTTAAGTTTACGTTT